TGTATTTGTTCTTTTTGATTTTCATGGATTTTTTAGCAGCATGCATAATTAAATCTTCTACTTTTGAGGCAAACAAGTTGACATCTTCCTTTGAAGAAGATGGATTGGAATTAATCAAATATTGAAGATTTTGTTGAGTTTGAAATGATTTGAGTCATGATATAGTAAGAATAGGACCATTTATACGGGACAAAATAAGACGCGACTTACATAAGACGCGACTTAAGTAAGACGCGAGTTTGTCGTATAAAAGGTACAAAATTCTAATGTAAGACGCGTCTTGGATAAGACGCGACTTAAATAAGAACAGGACTTTTAGTTGTTCTTATTTAAGTCGCGTCTTAAATAAGAAATTTTGGACAAAAAAGCCTAACTACACATGCCAGAAACTTGAAACAACGTAAAATTATTAGCCTTGCATATTAAAACAAAAACAACCGAACAACATTATAGCTATAGCAAATAAATAAGACTAAAGCCGTAGAGAACCATTTATGCGATAACTCCGCTTATATAAGACGCGTCTTATGTAAGTCGCGTCTTATTTTGTCCCGTATAAATGGCCCTATTGTTACAAGGTTGACGACACAAGGTCGACGACACAATACTGTTATATCATGACTGTGTCAGACTTGTTAGAACAACCTTGCAACAAGCCTGATGGTGCAATCAAGCTTGTCGCATGTTGTTAACACCTTGCTCCAAACTTGTTGACAACTTGGGACAAGCAGTGCGAACCACAACCTGTTGACGACTTGTTGGCAGACTTGCTACAAAATGTAAGATTCTTGCGTGTGTAAGAGTGAAATATTACAAATCTTACCAAGCAGTTGTACAAACGTCGACTTTGTCACAGTCCCCGCGCCGTTTGCAGCAATACACGAATACCATCCAGTATCAGACATCATCGTCCCCAGTACTTCCACCTTCTTCTCCGACACTTTGATTCTTTTACTTGAATGGATAGGCAGGTTATCCTTTTTCCACGTGAGCTTAGGCCGGGGGATACCACCCGCGTTGCATTCGAGCCAAAACGAGGCTCCGACAAGTGTCTTTATACTTCCTCCAATTTGCTTGGCTATTGGGAATGACATATCGTAGGATACGATGTCCTCTGATGAACCGTTTATATATGGCATTACCGGTTCTGAATAAACAGAGTATTGTTGAATTTCGTAAGTCGAATATAAAGCGAGGATGACAGTTGAGAACAAGAGTTGGCATGAGAGTTGGTGAGAGGTGACTGGATACTACCATGCACGCAGCGAAAATGATTCTGTCGGTCACAGACGAGTAAGTTTTCTATGACAAGTTTTTATGTGGCAAGTTTTATTTGCTCGTCTGTATGCGCAACTTTGACATTTTTTTCTATGACAAGTGCACTTGTTCAATACCTAGCATGCTAGCTTTTAAACAAGTGCACTTGTCATAGAAAAAAGTTTGTTCTTCTATATGGGTCAACAAACTGAACTTGTCAAAGTAATCTGAGCA